CATAAATAGGACAAGTGTGAAGAGCTCTCCCCCACACCGAAGTGGACAGGGAAACCCTCATGAAAGAGCTCGAATTATTGACTGAATGGATGCCTGTAGAAGCAGAACAACTGGCTAAAGGATAGATCTGGATCTAGCCACTGTTACATGTTTCTCACTCTTATCCAAGTTAGAATATTTCAATGTGCTTTGCATGGGGCTGCCTTGAAAGACTGCTCGGAAACTTCAGCTGGTGAATAACCCAACAGCCTGTGCATCGACAGGTGCTGTTCACTATTTTGATCACACAAACACCAATGTGACATCATCATCTTTCCTTGACTGCTGATCCATTGCCTGATTTTCCAGAGGAAAGTATGCCACCACCAGAGAGGATGAGGTAGGTTTGCAAAAAAGCAAGGACAGACACCTTGCATATGCTAATTTATATGCATACACATTTAGAAACAATTCCTATAATTTACATAGAAATGCAATACTTCTCACCATAGTGGGAAAGACTGTGACCGGGAGACTTCATCATTCTGCTGCCCAGGTACAAAGTACTAATGGTCCACCTTAAGGCCCTGCTCTCTCTTCTTAAGATTTTGTTGTTGTTGTTTATTTGTAAACCACATTTGAATCAGACAGTCCTTCAAACAGGGAACTTCTTCAAACAAAGGGTGGGCCTCTGACAGCCCTTCAATTAGAGGATTGCCATATATAAAACAGGACACATAGCCATCAGGGAGACAATTGGTAATTATTAATATATTTAGAGATCAGGCCTTTCTGACCATCATTGGGGGGAAGAAGAATGGGCTCCATCTTCCCTGTTGCCCTGGGAACTGCCTTGCACAGGGTGGCCCAGTGAGCTTCATAGCTTCCAAAAATGACTCAAAAGTTAGGAGAAAAGAATTAGAGCCAAAGAGTCAGAACAATGTAACCAAAAAACTTTGTAACCCATTGCCATATGAATCCCATGGACCAGTGTTATCCAATTAAATTACGGTATGAGGAGGGTGGAGTAACCTAAATGTAACCTTTTGGTTTTCACTCCCTCTGACCCATTGGCCTATTGAGAAACATAGTCATAGGCATTATCTCAGTGTTGTTTACTAAAAAAAAAATGCTTTTAAACTGTGAGTTATTTCTAGACCAAATGTATCCAGCTTTGCCTTCTATCCATTGAGTTGCATTAAAGAGCCATCTGCTATCAGAATTTTTTGCATCCATGAAGGTACTTACCGACCACAATAATAATAAAGCAGAATGGTTTAGGTAAAAGAGGCTGAGAATTAGCTCTACATGCTCTGACTTTTAGCTCTTAAAAAGACTTTTTCATCAATAGCATTTCGTAGGCATGTATTAGAGGGGAGGAATCTTAGCTACACAACTGCTGTTCAAATCAGTGGGAGTCAGGCAACCAAAAACGAATGCAGTGCTTTAAAGGAAAAACAACCGATACTTATTGCTCACATACAGTGGACACTTTTCAGACCTAAATATCTTACCCATTCTTACTGTTGTTTAGTTCCCACAGGAGGATCATTAGTTACTTTTATGGCTTTAATCACTTGCCAAATTTGACATTTCAAAACCAGGTCCCTTTCCTACCTCTGGTATTTTAAAAATGGTGTTGGGGGGGGGGGGAACGACACTGAAGATGGAAACCAAAAGAGTAAGCAGCCATTTTTCTCTCAACACCAACCTTCGCAATCCTCCAGATATTTTGGACCATCACTCTTGCTATCCTGACCCATTCCAATCAAGGTTTAGTCCTAGCTATGGATGGATGACCTTTATTGAGAGAAGAACAACCCTGTTATTCGCACTGGATCTAGAAGCAGCTTTGGATGACATTGACCATACTATGCTACTCAACTAGCTCTGTGAGATGGGTATGGGGGCACTGCTTTACAGTGGTTCCAGTCCTAGCTCCAGGGGCGGGTTCAGAGGACAGCATTGGGTGATTATTTCTCAGCCACCTGTAATTTGTGCTGCAGAGTGCCCTCCTGACCCAAATGATATTCAACATATATATGAAGCCATTAGGAGTGGTCAGGGGTGAGGCATCATTAGTACACCAATATTATCCAACTCTGTTTTTCTGTGACATCTGAATCAAGAGTAGCTGTACAAACCCTGGATCGGTGCTTGGACTCATTGGTGGTATGAATCTGAATCCTGGTAAGAGAAGATCGGTGGGTGGGTGGTTCCCAAGACCAGATAACTGGTCAACTGCCTACCTTGGAGAGGGTCATACTGCTCTTTGTACATGCCATATAACAGTTTTGTCATCTTCAAACTTGGCTAAAAGAACTCACTTTGCTCTTAGGTAAATCTGAGAGTGTATATTGAGAATGTAAAATGTAGAAGCTTTTGATTGTATGCCTTCGGCGGCGGAGGCGGGAGGGGGCACACATTGGAAAGTCTATCTCAAGACTTTTAAGACAAGGTGAGTCAATAAATAAAAATGAATAAACGAAAATATAGCAGTCCCGGACTCTTCATTTTACTC